CCAACCCCGCCCCCCCCCCCCCCCCCTCCCCTCTTTTTTTTGCTTGAAAGTAGGCCTTTTTTATATGATATTCAAAAGTTACTTTATTTTGAAAAGTAATTTTTAAGTAAAGCCAAACATGTTCTGCGATTTTATACGATTCCTTGCCTAGATGCATGATGATTTCCTAAAATCGAAAATGGTTAAGATCCAGTGATATTGCTAAATATTTTACACCGGTATCTTCATGGATTTATTGAGTTCTCCACTGCTTATAATGCTCGAAGATGATATGGCATCTTTGATTGAACTTTGAGTTAGTAATGAGTCGAAAATTCTTGAAGACGAAGAATCCTGATGTTCAATTGTGAAGAATGAGGAATAACCCAAATTATATAGCTCTTTAGTATGTAGTGGAAAAAGTTGGAATAAGTTGCCCTATGATTTTGCACTATTTTTTATCAAATTTATTGTCAAATTCATTTGTAAGAACGTTCCTATACTCGATACATAATTTTCATTTTTCATTTGCATTTTTGTCAAGTTTGATATTTTATCATTAGTTGTATACTTGGCAATGTAGTTTAGAAGCAATTGAAGTCATCTACTAAATCTGGCTATGCTTCCATTGATTCTCTATGAAAAAAATGCTTCGAGGGTGATTAAATTATCAATTTCACAAAAGAAGATAACGGCTGAAGTAGTACTAAAAATGATAATATGATATTTGGGTCCGTTTGATTGTAAAGATAAAATTTGAGTAAAAAGAAAACGAATTTCAGAAAATTGAATTGTCTAAAAATAGTTTTACTAAAAATTGTCAATTATTGTGTTAGATTGATATAATTTTCCACGTAAAAAATGTTGAAATAAAAGTATTTTTGATATTCGTTTGGCTTCGTTTTACAAGAAAATTGTCAATTAAATGAATCGAATTTACTGATATTGGGGATATAATTTGTTTCTGTTTTCAAAAAAAAAAAAAAAAAGGAAACAAAACAATCAAGAAAATCATTTATCTTTTGATATTTGTTTGACTTTGTTTTACATGAAAATTGTCAATTTAAAAAAAAAAAAGAAATTTTTTTTAACAATTTGAGATAGGTGGGAATTGGTTTTCCTTGAAAACCAAGAAAATGTCCCTGTGACAAGAAAATCAATTATTTGAAAAAAATATGCTATCGAACAACCAAAAATTAGAAGTTGGAATTTGAATTCCATTTTGCATGGAAAATAATGATCTATCATACAGACGCTAAAGGAAATTGAAAAGACATAACTGGAATTAGGGAGTTACCAAACTTGACAAGATCAATGGACAAGAAGGCACCAACATTGAATATTCAATCGATGTAGCGTCCCAAACCAACCTTCCTAGCTGCATCCGTCCGACTCGTTGGTTTGTTAAAAAGATGAAAGCAACACATCTATAAATGAACCAAGTCCAATGCCAATAATTAAAAACTGAATCAATATCAGGCTTCTCATACATTCAACCAAAATAGCATCATAAAAGGCCACTGTTCGAAGGTTCAGGTTGTCCGACATATAGACCTAACAAGCAAGTTAATAATACTAATAGAGAACACAATGTAACTAAGCACATCCCTTCCATCTCCAGGAGATCGATTTTAACATCTTCAGCGATGTGCACCATATGTCTGGGTTGCATCGTACTGGGGATACACAGGCTGGGGCGATGCTGCAGGTACACTTCCGTACGCACCTGCTGGTTGAGGAATGGACTGATCATAGCCAGGCTGTGTTGGAGCTGGCTGACCATAACCCAACTGTCCAGTAGTTGGTGCAGCATAAGCAGATGGAGCATGGGCACTACCATAAGCAGGATCTGCTGGCGCTTGATACCCGTAAGCATTGTTGGCCGCAGGTTGTTCATTGTAGGCTGGCTGCGATGACTGATAAGGATAACCACCCGTTGGTCCTGTTTGGGGATACGCAGAAGCCTGCTGTCCACCAGGCTGACCATACCCAGCAACAGGCTGTGCAGCTTGTTGAGGATATCCAGCAGACGATGCTGTGGCAGGTGGTGGATGATTGTATCCATCGGCAGAGGGTACAGAACCATATGGAGGATAGTTTTGCTGCATTGGTCCACTAGATGCATATGGGTATGATTGTTGAGGTGGAACATTTTGGCCATATGCTTGAGTTGATGAAACAGGAGCTTGATAAGGCATATCTCCAGGTTGATTTGGTCTAGGCTGAACGTAAGATGGAGCTTGGGGTCCTCGCTGCAGCATACCATAGGTAGGGGCCTTGCCATATTGGTCCTGTGGAGCATAGCCAGGATGTGTACCACCTTGAGCATAAACTGTTGGCTGAGAAGCCATTTGTCTATAATGTTGTGCAGAAGCCTGGTGATCATATTTTACTTCGCTATATCCATGACCATATTGTTGAGCAGGTGCTTGAGAATAAGGAGTTGGTTGCCCATAATCTGGACCCTGTGACTGCCCGTAGTTGTAATTTGCCTGGGAAGGGTATGAGCCCATAGTGAGTAGGGACGTAAAAAATAATGGAAACTAGCCCAACAGAAGAATAAGTAAATCACCAACCTGTGGTGAGGGCGCTTGCATTGCCACTTGGGGTCTTTGCTCCCAACTTGGACCGAAGCTGCTTCTTGGTGCTTGTTGTGGAGGATAATTACCATATGATGGAGTTGGGTACTGCGGATTCTGAGAAGGAAATGGCCCTCTTTGCAGATCATAACGTGAGAACTGTGAGTGATGAGGACCACGAGATCCCCATTGTGATGAAGCAGGTCCACGAGGACGAAAGGCCTGCTGGCTGTATCCACCAGAGTGAGATGATGGCCTTACAGTCTAAGCAAAGAAATTTAAATGGCAGGTGGACAAATATTAGTTAGCAAATCAACATTCTTAAAAAACTGTGAAATGTCAGGTGACTAGTTTCATCTTATGAGTAAACAAATTTGAAAAAAAAAATGTAATGAGTAGGATACACAAAAGAACATCATCATATTGGCAAGAAACAATCATGAAATAAGTATCCAATAGGCAAAAACAAAAAACTGCAAGAAACAACTTAATATAACATTGGATCAATCAAAATATGCTCAATTTAGAACTGATTAATAGGAGAAATATGGAACAAGAAACAGCTAGAAAAAGATGGCCGATTACAGAAGCATATAGAATCGAAGGAAAGCAAGTGAAAGGCATACAACAAACAGAATATTAAATATAAACTTTAAAAATGGAAAACAAGCATGTCCCTTTTTATCACAAATTCGTATGGTAGTTGGGAACTAGCCATTTATGCATCAAGATGATGTGAATCTACCAGATATCAGTTCAAGTATGATTTAGTACAATAAATATGCAATATTCAGTTTCTCAGCCCAGAATGCATCCCTTTTTATATTTTCATCGGTAATACCTGAACCTCTAAGAATGCCTCTACATTGTTCCTCACTAATAATATTCATTTAAGTGTCATTTTCTTCTTGCGATGAATACTCAAACACCATGCTAAGACTTGTACAGGCTATTAATCAGAAGATAAACGAGAGAACTCCACCTGGATATTGTCTATAAACGAATTGCAGTGATGTAGTTAATACTCATCAACAGAGAAAATATCATTTATGAGGAGCCTATTCAGACCAAATGCAAATAACAGCTATGCAGAAGACAGCAGCTCTTGAAGGTGAATCCAGATAAGGAGATGCAGTAAGCAATTTCAAAAAATAAATTAAAAAATGAACTACATTTCTCCCAAGTTTCACATGAACATATGCAGAGCATTTGACTGACAGCTAAATAATTGAATAGTACATAAAAATAAGCAGTTTTCGGATATAGAATCAGTATCTTTTCATCCTAAAAACTGTTGCTAACGTTGAAATGTTGGTTTCCAACTACTAGAAAACACAGCTCAATGCAAACAGTAACTAAGAAAGATCATGTTCTCTGAATTTCAAGAGGCATTAGAATACATGTCCCAAATTACAAGTTTATTTGACTTAGAAATGACACAGGTTTCCAATGTATCTATAAAATATAAGATGTGGTATATTATGTATCATTTGGGCTGATAAAATACAGCCTTATTAGTATTATCACTTTTAGTTTCTAAGTCTCAAAGCAATCTTACCAACTATTAACATCCTGCAATTGCGAGGGTTAATCCTTGATATCTCTGTTCAGTGGATGGATTGAAAAGTAGTTGTCTATGGATACACCAAGAAGGCCAAGCTGACCCTTGTGAAAGGCAAAAGCCAAATCTGCATTTTTAAAGCCAACCAATTCGAAATTGGCACCTTTAAC